AGCAACAGGGGTGAGTAGGATTCTCCTCCGTGAACCCGACAGTGAGCTGCCCAGTGGGTCCCCAGAGGCCTACCCACCAAAACCCGTACTCTACACCTTCTCATGGGAAATGAAAACCGGCAAGCTATGGCCGAGTCACCTCACTCATGACACTCATGTATTGGACCATTGGTCCCCTTGTAGATGGAAAATTGGAGAGACTCGGGTAAATCGAGTGCCTCTCCCAGACAGACGAAACCGTGCAATGCGGGAGCGGCTGCCAATCACCTCCGCTGGCCCCGACGACGACGTGAACCTAATCTGATAAAAATATGCGTTCACTGTAAACTACTCGAGGCTTAATTGCATCATCGGAAGGCTCTTTCCGCATGTTCTCCTACTCGCGTGATCGTATACCACATGTCCATTATAAGCTGAACCCTATTTAATACGATTGGCCATATATAAATGAGGTCAACTTACTTCGGAGTGTCAAAATTTTTTATTTGTCATCATACAAATTATCATTTCATAGACAATATTAATTCGTAGCTCGGTGGCTCTACGGATATGCGCCGCTGCGCACGCTATTGCATTGCAAAGCAATTTTCGCAAGAGTTGTTCACGGGATGGGTGACCAAAAATTATTAAACAAATGCCTGAGGCCCTGCAGTTTGGCTGTGAAAGAGTTAATGATGATGATCAATATATCAAAGACGAAAATTTAATAAATCAGTAAATATTTCATAGCAATTTTGGCGACCACGTCACTTCAAATTGACATAACTTTTGTATTTGTGAACCGATTGAAATAAATCTTACCCTAAATGTTAACGGAAGAATGCCGCAATATAATAGTGAAAACTGTATTTAAATCGGTTCAGCCGTTTCTGAGATTATCGTGCACAAACGCACAGACAAACAGACAAAACATTTAAAAATCATTGTTTTGTGTTCTATTACTCTTATAAATGTCCCTCATAACAGTTTTTTTCATATATCTTCAATGTACAGACATCGATCGGTTACGTTTTTATTATAGTATATAGATTTATGAGCCGCGTATGATGAAGTTTTCCGTAGGTGATAGAATTTTTAAAATCGGTCCCGTCGTTTAGGAGACTTTTCAATACAAACAAACTAACAAACAATAGTAGTATCTAATATCTAATTTATTATAATTATTCCCATTATCCAATTCCTAAATTCCGATATATTCATTTTCTCTACTATTTTTCAGAACTATGGTTAATACCTTTCTCGGGTGGAACGAGATTAAAAATATATATATAATATAAATGCTTATTGATAGCTTCAATTTTGATATAATATTTTTATTGAGCAAATAACACAAAACTAGTCAGGTTATAAAGTGAAAAATGATGTAGTATATATAGGTTCCGAAACGACTGAATCGATTTCGATTCTTTAACCTACAGAAAGCTACATTATAAACGGGTGACACAAGCAAAGTTGCGCGAAAACAGTACTCAAGTAGATTTACAAAATAATGTCAAAAAGGGAAATTTAGTAAAGCTCAGTCTACTTGGCGTGTACCAATCAAGTGGTTTCCAATAGCCAAAGAAAGTGGTTATGGTTTTCCAGAACTTCCTTCTAAAGACGCATACATATTTTTTACATTAGTTAATTATTTTACGTCACTAACTAAATATACTAAGGAAGTAATAAATAAAAAAATAGGTGAGCGTCTTTATAAGTTCGTGAAAAGTAATGACCACTTTCTTGAGCTTTTCGAAGCCACTTGATCGGTTATGATATTTTCAAAAATTAAAAGAAATATTAATTATCACTGCTTTTATAGTGTCGTCGATTACATCAATCACTATTAAATATACTTAATATGAACAAAGAGGAACCCTAGCAATATTTTTAGGGTACCGTGTAAGAAAGAAGACCCAGCATGTTTGTAAGGAAAAATATAAATCTTATATGACCGATTACCCGCGTATCTCGCCGTCTGTTACAGTCAAATTGTTGAGAAAATACAGGACCGATTGAGTTGACATTGAATACCAAGTAGGTTGGACCCGCCGGAGGGCTAAGGACGCCCCATTCTCACAAGGGGTGGCTGTCCCGGCGAATAGTTCCGGATTCCTGGGTGCCACCCCCGACTGAGGGTATGCCAGTTTTTAGTGGCTAACCGCCCGTTCCTAGCGGGAGCGATTTTACACATCCCGTCAGATGGCAAGGATAGTGCGGAACGCATTTTCCCTGGGTCAAAAAAAGTTTCACAGTAAAATATATTTGCCTATGCGTTAGGACGCCTTGAATTGCAAAACAGTCAAAAAAAGGTGGCAGTGTCCAAAACCGGGTCTTCTGCCCTACTATTAAGTAGGTAAACACAACTTAACAAATGATTACAATTATTCTATTTATGGATTAAACTGGAAAATGTTAATTTCGAAAACCGATTGCCAATTGCCCTTGGTAAAGTGCATGATTTGATGCATTTTTCTGTGCAATTAGTAAATAAGTAACACATGAATAAGTACATTAACTAACGATTAAGAAATATTCTAATGACAATTAAAAAATGGGAGTTAAAAATATTTCACCATAACAATAATTAACATTACGCAATTTTTAAGTGATAGGTTATTCAAATTTTTAATTAGAAATATCTATTGTAAGTATTATTCTCAATATCAAGATTTGTCAACTGAATATGTTTCAAACATAATGACAAAAACCCGAATATTTTTTATAAGTCTCAATTTTTGATGGTAAAACTAACAAAACCTATTTACCATCTTACTTTTGCAGTAACAAAGATAATATTTATTTTTCTTCCAGAAATGTTCTTAAAAAATACGGTAACAAGTGCCAAAATAAACAGTCATGTGGAAGACTGGAGCCAGAAACTAAGCCTAAAATAAGGCTTGATGTTTTCAAGTAATCAGGCTTCACCTCAGATATTGCAAAGATAATAGTGTTCTGTTTAGATACATAATTATTAGCAAAGGATAAGGTTGTTAAAGTCTGATACCTGTACAGACCCTTCCGTGCGCGAAATCATATTGTACTTATCCAATTTTTTTGTTTTAGTTCTAATCAATGGAACTGTTTTATCAACTAGCCTAATTATTGACATCATCTCAGCGTTATATGTTATTATCTATTGTTCATAAGGTTTGACCATTGCGTTTTAACCCTAAACTATTCGAGTATCATACATGAGATTTTTGTTGCGTACTTGTGGTCGAAAGTACCCTTGATATATTTTATTTATCATTTATTCCTTCCTATTATATTTGATCATGTTTGCCTTCTATACCTACCGGTAAATATCTTTAATGACAATTATTTATTCTTTCTTCTTTAGCTTGACCTGTTTCTATGGCGCAATAAACATACCTATAGACCTATACCTCATTTTGATATTATCTTGCACACAAATATATCATTTCTTTGGCATATTTTATGTTGTTTTTAACATGAATATAAGTAGGTACCCCTTTTAATCACACCCACTTCTTAGGAATCACTCGGATTGCTGTAAAACTTTTTCCTATAATTTGACAATCAGAATTTTTGTGTAATGTTGTGTAGTGTCGGTTGTTAAAATTTCCTTCTCTGGAGAAGTAAACAGGTTTTAGTTTTTTTTTTTAGATTTATGATATAAAAACAAGTAAATGAATAATGCAAGAGAACTTTCAAGCAAATTTGTTTAAATTTCAAAATAATAAAAAAAGACTTGCGAAATTACTTATTTATCGTATGGCATATGATAATTGTTTTGTGCCACTAATATTTTACGTGATGTTAAGAACGTTACTCAATCGAGTAGCACTCACGCGGATAGTATTTATGTAGTATTGTACGTAAAGGTTTTGTCGGAAAGCTAAATTAGTCAAATAAGTTATTTAAAAAATATATATTATAGTTATATACAGATTAACTAATCAAACTTAACTGGATCCACTGAAATTAAATTCATCAATACTCAAATTCTATTTGTAGCGGATACATTTCAATAACCTGGTTGTAAGTGTTAGTGACAAGAGAAATAATGAAGCAAACGAAAAGGGAAATCCAGTGGAATAATGTGTAAGCGTATGTAGTTATTATTAATTCGTCATCGTGTTTCTATATTAGATTAGCCTTATATGGTATAAGGAGTATATGGGAAAACTGTGTTTCAGAAAATTGCATCACGGGCCCTTCCTTGTTCCAGAACAGAAGTTTCAACTACTGATTCAGGATTTTTTTGTTTAAAGATAACATCCACGTTTGAATGAATAGAATGTATCTAATCAGAATACCAGTATCTAATTAACGAAAAAAAAATCTATCAAAATATTTTGAAATAAAACAAAAAGTTTTGTTATTAATACCAAACGTTGTATGTGAACCGAAGAGTAAGGCAAGTAACTAGCGTCTGGACTTGCGATAAATGTCAAACTTAAATACTGACTATTATTAATAATAATTAAGATCCATCTCAGCGGATCAACCACGTAACTAATTGAAGTTCAGGTAGCTGTTATTGACTTTGAAATAATGCTCTTCAACTTGATGCTATTGCATTAAGCTACAACTACTTAGTAAATAAATTATAATTAATCAGATCAGAATCAGAGGCGATATAGATTTACAGACACAAATCAAATAATAATAGGTATCTAAATCTACTTAAATATATTTCAAATAGTTATATGTATGCAATTTAAAATAACTTCTATTAAGTATATTTAAAGTGGACTTAAAGTTAATAAGTATTACTCGTATAACAGACCCCTACAAAACAATATTTTAAATGCATACAAATTTTAGGAATGCAACGACTCACACCTCACAAACGTCCATTAAAATTGTCATTAGTTATTGCAACATTACCGATAAAAAATTTCAGCTTAATTGAGTGTTAGAGTTTAGTCTCATTAAGGTCGCATAGACCCAGGTAAACCGAGTGCGTCGCTATCTGCACAGGGTTAGCTCTCACGGCGATGACGCGTTGTGTCGGCCCATTGAAAACTGTACAGCACACGATCAGGTAGTGTAGTATTTAAGCCACCATCACCGAGATAGGAAGCATCAAGTCCACTTGAATCTTCATACCTCATAATTTACAGTTCAGTGAATAATGAATAGCATCAGTGTTTCGGCAGTCATCGCCATTTTGGCGATAAACGGTGAGTTCATTTAAAACAATAAAAAAAACAATTAATAAAAATACAATATCAAATACGGAAGTGATTTAAATTATTTTTTTAATTAATAATGTCAAACAATATACTTTAATATCAGCAATAAAAATAAGGAATAAGTCACTTCAGTGTAACCAATATTTCTAATAAGTGTATCCAAGAAAAAACAATTACAGCACAAGTACATTATTATAAAAAATTTCATTAACGTTGAATAAATTCAATTGTTACTTATTTCCAATTACAATAAAACACTACGAAGGCACTTAAATCTTTTTTAATATTTTTATAGAATACATTTTTATTTGACATCGTTAAACGTCATATAATTATTAAATAAATTAAAGTAATCCTAAATATTATTAACTATTAAAATTATAAGTAAAATAAAATAATAGATAAGTAGACAAAATAAATAGTCATAGCATCTGACCCTATAATGTAGTAACTGTGTCTATCAGGACCCTCCATCAATTAATATATTTTAATTAGTTTATAATTAATCTTAATGAAAAATGCTTAAATAATCCACTTGGTCCCGGTACCCTGAGATGGGATTCGAAACCATGACCTTTCGCAATCCCGGCGACTGCTCTAACCACTGAGCTACCCAGAACATAATAGGACTGACGAGTCTTTCAAGCACTTGTTATTTTTTCGCTACTACAGAGCGTATTCTTATCAATATTCAGGCAATCCCCCAAACAGGCGAAAGAAATATTCAAACTATCGATAAAGATGTTAATTTATTCAAATTTGATCAATTTTGTATTCCCAATGATATACTGCAAAATATTATTAAGAAAAATGCTTAAAAATTCACTGGGTCCCTGGCACCCTGAGATGGGATTCAAACCCACGGCCTTTCGCAATCCGGGTGACTGTTCTAAACACTGAGCTCACAGGATTAACATTTTTTCCGTATAGCATTTTGAATGCGAAATTGATCAAATATAATAGTTGATAATTTTTTGAAAACATTTAAAGCCATGCTCATGTCGGTTCAATATCGTTTAGAAATTAATTAACATCAAAATAATGTATCTTTAATGATGATTATATTAATTGAAAGTGCGAACGCTGAAAATTCAGATCTAATATCGTACGCATGGTTCGATACAATATCAGAATTCAAAACTCGTGATCCTTTCCTTTGAATACAACGGATCGCGAAAACATCCGATGTAAACACTCTCAGCCTAAGACTCAGTCAAATCGGCATCGTTATGCTTACTCCAAAACTAGATTAGCATAACACTGATTTCGGTTCAGCTCCTATTAATAAAATATGTGTCTTGGTCCATTTCAGTATAAGTATTTCTCACAAACAAATAATTCATCGATATAAATTAGCCATAAGTATTTACTTAGGCATTATCATTATTAAAATTTAAACACATCAAATCAGGCTTGTACCATAATAATTAACCGCATAAATCAATTCGAACAAGTGTGTTGCTAAGAATGAAATTCTTTTCACATCAATTACAATCTTTAATAATCTTAAAGATTAACACATAGATACCAAAAAGTTCGTTGATTAAAAATCGGAAATTAGAAAAGGATATTAAACGGCAGCTTTAGTAATAAATTTTATTATTGTTAATTTAACCTTAGCGAAAATTAGTAGAATGCGAGGTAACAGTTCACATATAGAAATTCACTCAAGTAATGTAGAATTTTAAATTATAAATACTGTCAATAAGTAATTGATATAAGAGCCTTTAAAAGTAAAGTACAACAGTGTCATCGCTGCGATATGATATGATTCTCGTCACGTTACAGAAAATTCAAAGTTTTGCTTTTTATATAGGTCGGGATCCAAACAATGTATGTGATGTTTTATTACGTACTCCAGGATTAGCGTAAAATAAATCAGTTAATGCTCAATTCTATTAGATTTGAATACTTATAACAACTACAACCTCAGATTATTGAAAGGAATCGTTCAGAGGTCATTTATATTTGTTTATTTCATATGCACTAACGCTCTCTAATTTTGTGTTTGCATTATGGATTCAAGAATGTATGTAACTGTCTATCACGGACCTGGAAGGAGTTTTTGTCACGCACTAACACGTGATAAGCAGATTTAGTTAACCAAATAAGTTTTTTTGCGAGTTATTTTGCTAGCCTGTTTTAAAGCAACTATCTTAATCTATTTTGATGGTTCATTTTTAAACATTAATTGGCATTCTTTAATAAACAATAACATAATATATTTTTAGCTTTTAACTATAATCGAAAATCGCAATAAATTTTAATATAAAAAATACAACAAGCGCATATTTTAAACCCACCTCAGCTAACGAAAGGTTTCGAAGGGTTAAATATTATCTCAAGCATTTGATATTATTGAAAATTTCAGCTATTTTATTATGAGTAAATATTAACCCGAATGCAAAACAATAGAATATCCTTTTTGATTATAAAGACCCTTTAGATTAGAGACAGTACAAAAAAGATTCCCTATAAATTATGCTGGCGTTAATCTGAATTCTATGACAATAAATTTATTCATGACAGACGCCACCTGTCATAGTAACAACAATTAATCTTTGTCCGTAACAATATGGCATACTTTTGCATAATCCGACAGATTGTCGCCTTAAAAAAAAGATCGCGACTTTAAAACCTTCGATTGATTAAAGACCCACGCACTTATGGAATCACAAATCAGTTGAAAATTCCAAATCACAATCTAGACATTAATAATGCATAACACATATTGTACAAATAAAAAATTAACTTAATATGCGCCATTAGGTTGTATTAATTCAGGTGCCTGGGATTAAAAATATATTGTTTTTATTACCATAAATTAAAAGTTATTTATAATGTCAACGACTAATGCCGACTTTTAATTACAACAGCAAAAAATATGTAATAATTTATGTATCTTAAATTCCATAAATTAAATTAAGTTTGTACGTGTAACGAAATACTTCAATGGCAGGCTAACAATTATTGCCGTTTATTCTGAAAATACTATATTATAGTTTATTTAAGTAAGTATAAAAGAAATTCAGCAACTGTCCTATTATTGATCAGACGCACATCGAACCCAGCTGTTGAACTACTTCAACTACGAATTATAACCCACTAGTACCCTGTACATTAAACATTTCTGTGTGAAGTTACAACGTCTTAAACTATAAACATCATACATTCAGTCTTAATAAATTAATATAATGTTCGCAAAGATTTGTTTTGTGTTATGATAACAAACTGTTTCGATAGTTAAACATATCCAATCGATTGTCAATGTTTTGATTATTCATTGTTAATATTAGGTGCCTGCTTATAATCTTAATAGCATGTTCTCTCAACGTTGATTTGTTTCTTTGGTTTTAATATTAGAGTACATATATGTACTAACGCGTAAATATCGACAATTTTCCGTCTTCGAAAAGAGTAAGAAAATTATCTCCTTTTTCAGTATCATTCGTTGTTGGTTGGGGTTACCGCGCCTCCGATCAACGTCGATGGGCGGTATTGCATCCCGCGTGCGGTGGCCGCCAGCAATCCCCCATAGCTATCTCAGCGCGACAGGCTATTCCAATCTCCATTCCTGCGATGGAACTTATTGGCTACCAGAACCCACTACCTGGACCACTCACTATAACAAACAATGGCCACTCCGGTGAGTTAAATAATGAACATATTTAATTTTACCATTGGTTTTGTAGAGCTCAAAAAGAATGGATTGCAGTCTAATTAACAAGGTCATGCCTATACCACAATCTTAACAGCATTTCTTTATACTACAGATTCGACTTTAGATCAGCTCAATAGTTTCTTATATTTTTACGTTTCTTTTTCTAATTAAACACGAAATTTTTGCTCCACAGTTGCATTAACAATTCCGAAATACAGCTCGGAAGAAGAAAAGAAGGGATTCAGACTGCCTTACATATTCGGCGGGCCTCTAGATAACGAGTATGAAATCGAAGGTCTTCATTTCCACTGGGGAGACAAGAACAACAGAGGATCTGAGCACACTCTTAATGACATGCGTCTGCCCTTGGAAATGCACATCATTCACAGGAACAAGAAATACAGAAACTTGGCCGAGGCTCTTCAGCACCCTGATGGACTTTGCGTGCTTGCTTTCTTCTATCAGGTTAATAGTCTCTCCAATAACTAAGATAACTTAATAGTTTCTATCTAATCTAAGGGATACACCAGAGGCGACATAATCGTTTTCCTTGAATACAACGTTTTCCTTGCATTGTAACATTATAGTCAACACGGACCATTAGATAATCAATCAAAATTATTCTTATTAGTGGGCTGTTAACGACTGCACTGCCAATAAAGGCGTTATGGTATGTCTTTAGAAGTATGGAGGAGCTAAACATATTATCGTTCTAGGTTGTCGAATTCGACGCTAAGCTGTTGACGCCCATTGTGAAGAATCTGTCAGCCATTGAAAACTACAACACCAGCATGCAGTTGCCCCACACATTTTCCCTGTCTTCTATTCTCTCTGGACTGGACACTGAGCGTTTCTACACCTACAAGGGATCCCTCACCACCCCACCTTGCGCCGAAGCAGTGACATGGGTTGTCTTCTCCGACTATCTGCCAATCTCAGTCTTCCAGGTAAACTTAAATATATGTATTCCTATTATCAGTGTGAAAATCAGTTTTTGATCAAAGCTATAACCATTCGAAATCGTTTTATGCTATGAATTGGATCTTTGTTATTAACATTATATGTCCTTAGATGGACAACTTCCGTGGCCTCCTCTCCAACCTGAACCTGCCGCTCGTGGACAACTTCAGACAGCTGCAGCCACTCTTCGGTCGCAGAATTTTCGTACGCATCACCTCCAAAAATCCCAAATTCAAGAAGACCAAGCTTCACTACTCCAAGTGGGACTGGGTTGGTCACAAGAAGGCCGAAAATGACGTTGCCGAATTCGACGAATAAATCGATCAGACCACCGCTATTTTAGATATAGATACTAATCTCTAGACTACGGGTATTCATTAATAAAACTAATTTAACGACACCAAATACTAGCGATTGTTATTGGTATTTTTTTTTTAACTCATAATGGTTGTACACTGTATAATATTATTTGTATATATTGTGTTAATAGTATTAAGCATTACATGTAAGTTTGTTTGTTAAATGTATTCGAAAAATAAACAATGAAATATATTTTAACGGGTTTATTTTAAATTTAAACAATTTTACTATATATATAGAATACAATTAAATATTGGAATATAAATATAATTATGAATAATATAAACATACATTTTTATGATTAGGTACTGTAGTTATCGGATCCAAACATTGACTGAAAATAAAAACAAAATATTAAATTAATTTTCTTTCATGTTTTAAACGATTGACATAGAACACTAAAATCAATCATTTTATAGTATTCTTAATTGTACAAATATAAGTAGGTATCCTTTGATATAACCAAATTAGGCACTAAACTAGATATAACTCATATTTAAATAGAAAATTTTGATATAGATAATATATTTTTTAAACATCTCAACAATATTTTCGTTCGATTTTTTATTTTAGTTAATTGGCGGTTTAATAAAATTAAGGATTTGACTGCTCAATGACTCATTTAATGGTGCAAAATAAATACATCAATAAATTAATAAACGTGAACGTCAATATGACGAGATACCTTCTGATTTTTTAATTTGTTTGAGTCAAATACGATTACAATTATGTAGTTCCATTTGATGCCCATCATATTCAAACTAACTTGATGCCTCGGCAATTTTAATTCATTTCGCGTGAAGATGGCGTGATCATCACTAGCAACTCATAAACATTTGGTGGAATATTGAGATGTTAATTTTTTGTACACATAAGGAAATTACAAATTCTCGTAATTGATTTTAAATTTTATGAGCAGAGTATTAAGTTTTATAATCAATTGGAATTTTTTGATAACTATAAAATATTCCGTCTCATCATAAGGGCCCTTTTCAATAAGGGACTACAGCAAATGTGCTAAAAATAATTAGAAAAATTCTGTTTAAAATTCAACAATTAGTCAGTTTCTTCTCATAGTTGATTTCTTTTTAGATGAAAGATAATTAATATGTTAAATGTGATTTTTTAAATTAAAAACAATTCCTGCATATAAAGTTTGTCACTTGTAACGCGCTGATAGCATCGCTAATAATTATTATTACATTGAACATAAAATTATCTATTTTGTATATTATCATTAATTTTATTACACATAAATTATTTCATATAAGGCATCAAAGATCAATATGACAAAACGTAAAAACTGGAGAGAGGATATCTGCATTTTGATGTTCACAAATTAGCATAATAAAGGATTATATGGTTTACCTAGATTTAATAGAACAACAAATCACAACCCACAACACACATCAAAATATTGCACATAACTTTGTTGATTAGTAATGAAATGCTTCAACTTAATAGTAGAAATATATACTCACATAATGTGCCAAATAATATCCAGTCTTCTAGTAAATACCACGGAATAGGTGTTGGTAACTTTAAATTCCTTGTCACAAAACAAAACATGCACAGATGGCAAACAAACAAATAAAACAATTCATATGGTTTTTATTTTTCTATATATATTACAATAATAGAAATTCAACAAATTTATACAAGATTAATATTCTATTACATTATTTCAATAATTCATATTTGATAATTAATCTACTAGGAAATAATTTTTACTGTATTGTTTCATGGTTTAAAATATATTTTTGTTATGTATGTGGAATGTATGTGTCAGGCAACAAACTGATTATTTAAAAATTGCACATGGATAAATCAAATATAGATTGTACAATAGCAGTTAGTTATTTTTGGTTGGCATATATACAAGTGCCGATGTCTGCTTTGAAACAAACAGAATTATCATGCAATATACTATATAATTAGCGTACCAAGTCTTCAGGGTTGAACATGCCCTGAAAAGAAGAAAAGAAATAATTAAATGGTGACTTCTAATGAGTAATGAACACAAGAACCTTAATTTAATAATAAAACATTAGCTAATAATTAAGTAATCTACTTTAGAATTACTAAAACCTATTAGTTTCACTTGTTATATATGATAATTCCCTTTTTTATAATCTGTGCTATATGAGTAAAGTAAGAAATCTTAGGTCTATTTGGTTTAATTCAATTCAATACCATCCTAGATAAAACTGTCAAATATTGACAGTTTTAGCCATCATCATCATCATTTGCTCTTTATTTTCTCCCCACTACAGAGGCTCAGGCCTTCCTTATGGATGGTTAAGTATGGGTCACAACCCTCCACACTAGCACAATGTGGATAGGCAGGTATTAACAACTGCAAATGCAGCTGAGACCAACGGCTTAACATGTCTTCTGAAGCATGGAGTAGCTCAATTTTTTGGGCACCCATCCAGTGACCGACTCTTGCGAAAGTTGCTTAGCAACAATGATTGTGTGCCATGGCACTTATCCACTACGCCATTGATTGCGAAATACTCAGCATTATAACTAAATACATAAATGGCGAATTTACCTTAGCACGACGTAAAATGGAATCCTTGCTGGCATCATAAGGATGATCTTTAGAAGGGATCTCAAGAACTGAGGGCACGGGGGCTGTGTGTGCATCGATTACATGTCGGATCATCTCAGCAATATTCTGGTTGATAAGGATGATGTCAATGTCATCCCGCTTGACGAATCTCTTGAAACACTCCTCAATTTCGCTTACAGCTGTGTCTGTTTAAAAAAAATGGATGTTGGTGTATGGTTGAAATGATTGATGATGTTGTTAGTTAGGTGTGAAAAATATTTAACATGATGAACTACTATATAAATAAACAAAAATTAAGATCCTAAGTGACGATAATGTTGAACTTACTCTTGTCAACGACCATGAAATTAGGGTGTCGGTTTTTATTTATTTCACCAATTCCACCCAACAGGAAACCGACGCATGTGTCCTGGAAGTGAGGAGCAAGTTACTTTTCAAGATTTTAAGGGCTCAACACTGAAATAGCGCAATTTGTCGACTATAAACATTAACTACTCATTATTAGACTAAATAATCAGTCCAATTTCGACACTAACCTCGTCTCCAATAACGCTGATTAGTTTTCCTTTTACGGCTGATTGCAAAGCCATTTTTATGGGATTTTAAACTGTTTTTATAAAATATTTTCAGTAAGTAAATTAAGAAATGTCACAAGGGTTCGTCACCTGACTTGATTGATTTTTGTTTTTCATTTTTGGGTTGTCTATCCTGAAAAATAAAGACGCATTCAAGTTAACATAATAATTAATTAGTCTATGGTTACCAATGCAAAATGTTGATTTTTTTCTACCATATCTACTCTTTTTTTATTGCTTGCAACAATCATTTGTGCCACAATAAAAAGAGGGTCAATCACTTTATTATACCATTTTATACTAGTTATCAATGACCTAAATGGCCTCTAAAGCCATTTGAGATATCTTGACATGAATTTTTTAATATGATTGTGGTTATAATTTTGTGGTAAGTTTTCACTATCTATTATGTTACTGGCAAATGTAATCTAAAATCACCTTATAGTAGGCTGTATGGATTAGATCCCTTCCTATAAACAGTTGAGTGACAGTGACAGCCATAATACCACCACAACATGTCAATGGGGTAGTAATAATTTGTTTGTGTCCTGTTTTTTTTTATGGAATCTTTTTGTATTTAATATTGAAATAGTAATAAAAGCTATCTTAAGAATAAACAAGTACAATGCTTAATATACAAAGCTACGGTAGCAGTTCCGAAGATGAGAATGATGATATTGTGAAAGAAAACAGTAATGAAAATTTGTTGATTCATTTGAAACCTGTGGATCCTAATTTGTCTGTAGCAAAAACAATGCAGATATGTGCGGCGCCTGTAGTAATGCCTACAGTGAGTATTCCACTATCGGTTGCTGTTTATTATCATTATATAGTTAATAAATAAGCAAAGATTTCTTAGTTAACATATCTTATAATGGTCATTAAATTGTTTGTGTCATTCTCAGAATAATGATGATACCAGAGTATTGTTACCACCAAATCAAGAATTGATGCATAACCCTAAATATGAAGAACTTTTTGCACCAACATTTGGTCCTGAAAATCCTTTTCAAACTCAACAAATGAAAGCAAACAGAAACATGCTCTCTGGATATGTGGAGAAGGCACACATAAGTGAATTTCAATTTGAAAATCAGAGGCGGACATTTACTAGTTATGGTTATGCAATGGATCCATCAACTGATGTTGATACTGGGAGTAATGATGCTGTTGTTGGTAAGAATAGAAATCTTATATATGGTTGAGCATGACACAGATGTATAATTGTATCATACTCAATTTTATAAATGCAATAAGTGTGTATGATTTTTATATATATATAATGTATAACAGAAATAATGCACATCCTTATACACCTCAATTAGAAAATTGGAATTTTACTTTTATGTATAAAACATTGTTCATGTATGGACACATTCTAATTGCTGGTTAACAGTGTGGACATCTTACAAGTTCACATAATGATGTCAAAATTATGGCTTAGCCTACAGTGTAATACCACAATCATACCACCCTTAAGCATTTCAAAGTATTTACTGTATGTTAGTATAATGAAGAAATTGAAAATTCAGTAAACTTTTTCTTCTTCTTCTAAACTTTAATGGCTACTTTGCGTCCACCACAGTTCTGCCAACTTCACATCAGAGACCGATTTACCAAGAACTTTACACAAAATGAGCAAATGCTTGTGCTATTCCCACTCTTTTAAATTGTTTTAGTGTAAATAGTCTTTAAACATTTGCTGGTTGATCTATCTGCATTTGCAAAGATTCTATGATAATATTCTAACTGCTTTAGAAATTCATCAGTCCTGTTAGGTCTTGGGTAGCTTACTGGTTAGAGCATTTTTCCGGATTGTGTACGGTCATGGGTTCAAATCCCATTTCAGAGTGCCAGGAACAAAGTGAATTTTTTAAGCATTTTTTATAAATATTATAAGTAAAATAATTTTCTATATTAAATAAAATAATTTTGTTTAAATTTAATTTTGTCATAAATTTTGTTTTTAGCTGTCTAAATATAATCTTTCTATTTTCAAGTATATTATTAAGATCATTTGTACGTGTATGTTTAAGAAAACTGCAATCATAGTCCTGCATTTTTCCAGTTTCTGCCATGGTAGCTCCCCCTCCAGAAACAGAAGGAAAAACAGTATTTGAATCAATAAAAAAGAGGCCATTGGATAAAAAGAAAAGAAACAAAAATGATAATCCAGAAGATATTAATGGATTCTTGGGTCCTTGGGGAGGATATGAAGGAGAGAGGAGGTAAAAGTTTTAAAATCTAATATTATTAATTTAATACACTATACCACACTTCAATTACTTCCATAAAAATTGTCAACCTCTATTTTACCCTTCTTAGAGGTAGAATTCTAATAAAAACTGTGACTCTCATTACTTATGAGTCTGAAATAAAAAATGTTCAACTCATATTCAACCCCTAAAGGCTATTTATAAAATCTATCTTTAGTGCCTACTCACAAAATAAGTCTATTGACCAAAGATAATGCATTAAACTTTGATAGTTTATACTAGCCGATGATGAATGAGTGAATCGAAATATTTTAATTAACAAACCAAAACAATTGACATTGACAATCAGTTAAAACAGCAATTTAAAATATTGCATAGAACTGTTTATCAATAAAATGACTTTTAAGTGATTTAACTAAACACAATGTTCAGCAATATAGCTAGACTACAAAACATAGTAGCCAGAGAAATGTTCAAGAGGTTTATAACAATAAATACTTAATTACGTCACAGTGTATAAGATAGAATCATTTGATATCCACTTTGTAAGTTATGTGATCAAAAACCTAGTGGCGGCAGTGTCAATAAAATTTCTAGCAATTAAACTTCATCTTTTGTATTTTTTTAAACATTTAATTATATAGTAACCCAAAAATATCAAAATCATCAGCTGTTGATTGACACACTCTTGTAAACAAATTGAAACCAATAATGTCGCAATGTTCGAGACCCTGTGAATTTATTATTACAACAGGTTTTTAGTAAAAGTAAAAATATGTTTAAATAAATTGGCTGCAATATATATGTACTTATACTTTATGTATTTTATCAATTAACATATTATTGGGCAGTGGCACAAACATCCATTAGGGTTCAATGACCCCATTTAGCTCTCATGAATGTCATATTTGTATGGGTAAACTTGCTTTTAAGATATGATATTTTTAATGGACGTTTGTATGACTACTATGATCGATCCTATTTGCCAATTTCTAATATTATCAAATTTTGTTTTCTTTATACCTTGTATGTTCATAAGTTTTGAGACAAACTTTATACTGAAAAAATCTAATAAAATGTTTCTGGCTGTTATCTATTTTTTTTACTGATTTTGAATTTAGAATGTTCACTTTTAGTTTATTTGTACTGAAAATTTATTCTCGTGATGGAGGGAACGGAACAATTACGTGTAACTGTCATTTCCCTATATAAGGCAGGAAAAAAACCGATGCAGATTTTCCGCGAGCTGAAATGTTTTCCTGTAAGACGTAACTTCGTCTATTACAAAATACAGCGGTACAAAGAGACAACTAGTGGTCGACCACGCAATGTGAGGATGCTTGTAAAACATCAAAATCATCCGAGAGCGACTTCGCCGAAATCCATGTCGCACTCAGAAGAAACTCGCTCTGCAGACTAATATTTAGCGCGTTTCAGTGAACAGAATACTGAAATATGATTTTTAGGTAGCCGTAGAAAAGTTCACTTTTTAAACGATCGTCTCCGTAAGTTACGACGTGAACGTTGTTCACTGCTGCCAGGAAGATATAAACCATTGACGAGAAAATTTTTACTGTTGAAGAAAAGTTCAACCGGCAAAACAATAAAGTATACGCTTAAAGTAGCAAGGATGTCCCAGCTTCTGCACGGAATGTCTCGCGCACTCAGCATCCGGCTAGTGTGATGGTATGGGTGGGGAGTTTCGTATGAAGGTGTCACTTCGCTCCATTTCTGCCAACAAGGTGTCCAGGTGAAAGTCAAGAAATATCTGAAATTTTAGAGCCCGTGGTGAAACCCTGTCTGATACGTCATTTCACAATAAGGATTGGATTTTTCAGCAAGACTCGGCGCCATCCCATAAGGCAAAAAGCACCCAAGTTTGGTTGAGGGAGAATGTGCCGGCCTTTATCGCGGCGGATGAGTGGCCCTCATCCAGTTTCGACTTCAACCCACTGCATTATTCTTTATGGACTGAATTAGAGCTCAGGGCCTACCGAAAGTCCCTCCCAAACTTAGGAGTCACTGAAGCGAACCCTTGTTCGAGAAGCAAAGCAAATTCCGTTAGAAAAGATTCGTGCCGCCATCGATGACTGGCCAAATCGTCGAAGGGCCTGTATTAAACACAAGGGGTATATATATTGAATAAAATATATATTGTTGATTTTCATCATCATCATCATCAGCTTACAAACTTTGCGAGCTATGTCGGTCACTCTAGTTCTTTAGCGAATATCCACGTTTCGGATCCTACCGCGCAAAGAAACCCCTGACATAGCTCTCTCCATGCCTCGCTGAGCGACTCTGAGCTTCTCTAAGAGGCCAGCAGTTAAGGACCACGTTTCAGTGCCATAGGTCATCACTGGCGACACACACTGGTTATACATTGTTGATTATTATTTATTTAATGGTTACTGAAAATTTTAGAAATATAAGTTACTTATTAAAAACGTTACGCAACTTATTTCGTCTCAAAACTTATGAACACATGAGGTATATTGTTTCAGTTTTTATTTATTATTTTATACAATATATTATGTTTATAGTCAGTATATTATGTTTATTTCAGAGTTATGAAACCGGAAGGGGATGAAGCTAAGGAATTGGAAGAAATTCTGGCAAAGAGACAAAAGAGAGGCAAAGTAGATGATGACAAACCCTTAGAAGAGAAATCCATTATTCACAGTAAGTGGATAATGTACCTATTTTTATAAATGGTTGTTAATTCGAAAATCATTTTTGGAACATTGGAGTGATGTCAGTTCCAATCTTCCATCGAACTGGGCGTTTATTGCTGATTTCCCTATTACAAATGCTTCAATGAATGTTAAAGCAATGCATTTTGTAGTATTGTTTCGTGATTTTATTTCCGTATAAATTTCATGTCGATGTTATTCTTTCACAAAAATATTATGCAAGTTCGTTTTGACATGAAGAGTGTTTTGAGTCAGAGTTATACACTAACAAATAAAACTTATTCTAATATAATATTTCACTATAAATTGAATCCTTTCACAGTTGACAAGGCGACTGACTACCAAGGTCGTTCGTGGATCGAAGCACCGCGCAGTGAAACACAACTCCGCAGTGACACACCGCCAGACAAATGCTTTTTGCCCAAGGTATTTTTTGCCCATTACAAGAAATAAAATATAATATATAAATTGTTTAAATAATATAAAGTGGTTTTAAATCTAGTGATAAAAGTTAATTTAATTGCTAAATAAGTGACTTTCGGTAATGTCATGTGTATTTTTTTGCAACATTGTTTATCAATAATATACAGATATCAGTGGTTAACTGATTAATTTTACAATGCTCAGCTCAAATTTACTTATTTACTTAAGGTATCCGATGAAAATCAGCGCCGCAGCTTAAACACTGCGGCATATTGCTGAACGGAGACTTTTTTAGTGCCTAATTTAGAATTATCTATTAGCATACTATTAATGGTATGTACTTGTAATTTGGTGCTAAAAATACTTTTCTATTCTATTCTAAATAAATGGATGGATAGAGCTGAAATTTTGCACAAGATTTTGAAAAATGGAACCATTAAAGAGGTTAAATAATTAAAAAAAGACCAAGTACGAGTCGGATTACGCAGTTTTCCGTCACATCATCTATAAAAACGCAAAAACATCACGTTTGTTATATGGGAACCCCACTTGAATATTTATACATAATTTGTAAAAAATTCCAACTGTCTTGCTATAACTTTTCATGAGACAGACAGACAGGTTCCGTTTAAAACTTTTAAGTACGGATTCTAAATACCATGTAATCCACGCGGGTGAATTAGCGTCTGAAAGCTATTCAAGTACAGTATGTAATATAAGTGACTTATATGTTTATTTGTTAATTAGGCTCACATTCACACATGGAAAGGTCACACGAAGGGAGTGGCAGCCGTGCGATGGTTCCCTACCACCGCTCATCTCATGTTATCTGCCGGCATGGACTGCAGAGTTAAGGTTGGTTTAAAATACCACTTTAATAGGGTTACCAGATAAAAAAAAAACAAAAATCCTGACAAAAGGCTCCATCTGTTGTGAACTGTGGATATATTCGAAATATTTTAAATTATAATGGTGTACCTACAGATATGGGAGGTGTACGGTGGGCGACGTTGCGTGCGTACGTACTTTGGTCATCGGCAGGCGGTACGCGATGTCAACTTCAATAACAGTGGTGACCACTTCCTTTCTGCTGGTATTAACATTATCTGTCTCTTTTCCTCATATTATGTTCTCGATTTCCGTTCTGACAAAGAAAAAAAATCATTTTTATTTCGTCAGAAATTCTTAAAATACTTTTCTCATTATCAATAGGGTTATTGATAGTGATCAATATAAAATATGAAACTTATATTAAATTTAACATAGTCATTATTTATTTTTCCTGAAATAGTGGTTTTTAATAATCAGATTAATATTACATTTTTATTTTTCCAAAAAAAAAAACTATTTTTTGCTGTCATTTTCAAAACTAGTAAATCTACATTTGAACAATTTACAATAGCGTATTCTACTTCGGGTAGTTTATTTTTATTAGAAAAAGCCGTAAAAATAATATTTCGGAAAAATAAACATGTTTTCTTGCCTTAAAATAAAATAATATTAATTAATTATTATATTAAAACAAAATTTAGAGTAGGTATACATAAATAGGGATAATTTTTATTTGTTAGTCCGTCAGTTAGATTATTGAAGTACGTATATAATATATATACGTACTTTTTTTATTTTTTACGTAATCAATAAATTACGGCGATACATTGAGTTGAAATGTCGCATGACGTCATGCTTTTATACATTTTCTACAAAACTGTGACGTAGCGAGCCCCTACTCCTCACCTTTAATGCCCATTTCTTGTTTAAATTAAAGCAAAAAAAAAACTATTATCTGACTGACGAACTCACTTATGAAACATTTAATATTTTATTAAATTAGGCCAACCTTTTCTTTTTATTTTGAATAGGATATTATAATAATGATTTTGGCGGCATAACACAGGTGCCGTTACTTCCCCTCCCCCCCTTAGTTTTAAATGAATTTTCCAATTGACTGTGAAATATACGTAAAGTAGTGGAGATTGATCAATATTTACTTTACTCTGTACAGCATACGATCGTTACATAAAGCTGTGGGACACCGAGACGGGGGCGTGCGTGTCTCGATTTACGTCAAGGAAGGTGCCGTACTGCGCCAAGTTTAATCCTGATCCTGATAAACAACATTTATTCGTCGCCGGCACATCTGACAAGAAGATCATATGCGTTAGTATATACAAGTCCCGTAAATTGCTTATGCGCTGGAACCTTGTCTAAATAACACCTGCGTGACGTCATATGAAAATAGAGAGTATAGACAGCAGAAAAGGCATTAAATATATAATTTAACAAATACTGAAACGAGAGACATAAGATATGTCTTCTATCTTTACTTTTTATGAAAATCATAATAGCAGTTGATATTTTACATAATAAGGTACAACAAAACTTAACAATAACAATCGAAACCAACAAAAAGATAACAAAAATTATGTGTAATCTATACATAACCCAACCCAATAAATGTACTCTTTGACCAGTGTTTATTTGTTTATTAAATGGCGGCCAGCCGCATTAGTAATTTGCGGGGATTATACCACACGATGACAATAGATTTATAATGACATTTTTTTATATGTACCTATGTCAATATTAGAAAGAATGTTACATTTTCTTTTAACTGGTCGTTCCCCAATTTTCATGGAATTAGCGTTTCAGAATTTAATTTATTTTATCTATGACTAACACTCGTGTCTATCGTCGAGAGAAATAATAGGGGTGTAGACAACTTTTTCTATATGTTTCTTATAGATATATCTAAAAAAAATATTTAAAAAAATTATCATTCATATAATAAGATAAAATCTAAAATTGATTTAATTTTCAAAATTTCCTGCAAATACAAACTTCTGTCATGGCGTCGTAATGACGTGACTGCCCTTCGAAACTATTATCGGTCTACGTATGCTTATGGTTTAATTCTCTAAGTTCTGATATGAGAAAGGGGGCGTGACGTCACGCGCTGTTTGCGATCTTGTGACAACGAGTATGAAATTGTTTTTTTTTTTCATAATTAAGCAATATTATAAATTTAATAAGCAGAAAAGGGTTATTATCGTTAATATATAAGACTACCAGAAAAAAAAGAATTTAATTTTGTTTACTATCTACACCCGTATTACGAGTAAAATAATAACCTATGCAAATATTTGTAACCAATTAAGGAGAATAAGAATGAAGTAGGTACTGTCAATACTGTCTTCTTTTATCGTAGTGGGATACGAGAAGCGGAGAAATAGTACAAGAGTACGACAGACATTTGGGGGCGGTGAACACAATCACGTTCGTTGATGAAAACAGAAGATTTGTCACCACATCTGATGATAAAAGTTTACGCGTTTGGGAATGGTGAGTTATATATTTAAATTCATTATGAGTTTTCCTCATTTGTGTGTTAATCAAATTACTGTGAAATGGTAAGTGATACACATTTTCGCTTGTTGCTACTAAGAAATAATAATATACATATGTTTTTTGAGGTAATCCTTATGCATATCATCATTATAAACCTTAACGCGTTAATATTAAAGTACAAAATAAATTGGAAAATTTGAAGTATTGTAGTAACCTGACGTGCTGCTGTGTGACAAAACATAACGTGTATAATAATCCATATAGTATGAGTATGGTTAGCAATAGGGATGCTACTAATACAACAAATATAAATATCAAACATGTTTTTCGACAAACCATTAGTTCAACAAGATAAATAATTTTTTTACTAAGAAATTAAGTCAGCAAAATTTACTACTCAAAATGAGTGGTATACTAACAGGATTAATTTTCGTAATTTGCTAAAGCGTTTTTTTTATAAAATGTTGAACAAATGAAATTTATTGCTTATATTTACATTTTTGAAATATAACATTAAGGTAAATATTTACTATTATGTTCACAGTTGATATGAGCATAGTATTTATTAGTAATAAGGGATTTTTATCAAAAACAAAAATTATTATGAAAAGTGTTTTCATGAAAAATCCTTTTCTATTTTTTGTTTAATAACTATTTGTGTACCTTGTCCCAAATAAATGATCATTATTATTAAAAATTATTGATAGATTTAAAAAAGCTTTATCTTTTAATGGTATTGACTTTAGTTCACAAAAAAAAAACTTAACACGGTTTTGAAAGTAAACCTTAAAGTTTTGAAAGTAATTCATATATGCAACATAAATGTTAAAAAAGATTGCGTTGCGTGACTGACGTCAGAGAGGCAGCGCCACAATTCTCTTGTTTATCAATGTAACTACGTTACTTTGTTTTATATTAATATTAAACTAAGAGAATAAATTAAAGAGATTCTGATTGATTGAATAAAAAAGCTCATAAGTTTCTTTCGCTTGTTCTTCTTGTCAGTCAAAAGATATACTTTACTACAACTACGATTGGTAGGTATATTTGGTCGACTCAAATAGTGTGTTGTTTTTTTTCATTTTTGTAACGGATTGTAAAGGAATTGATGAGTCAAGAATTCATTTCAAAATCCAAGAGAGTGGCGCTTCTAGATTGACAGACACCCGTGACAATATTTATAATCTCGTATTAGTTGCATCACTAGTGATCAACTGTAACTAGAACAGTATCATCATTGCAGGGACATACCGGTAGACATGAAGTACATAGCTGATCCGTCTATGCACTCGCTACCGGCGGTGACTGTATCGCCCAACGGCAAATGGCTCGCGTGTCAATCTATGGACAACAAGGTTATAGTGTTCAGCGCTCTCAACAGATTCAAAATGAACAGGAAGAAAACTTTCACTGGTCACATGGTGGCTGGATACGCGTGCTCCGTTGACTATTCACCGGATATGAGGTCAGTATCTTTTTAATTAACTACATTCGTTTAAAGTATAGCACCGGCAGTTAGGGTTGCCGACTTTTGTTAGAAGAAAGAGAGTAAATCTCATTTCTAGGAGGTATTTTTTTTGAAAACGGTATTTTTTTATATTCTTTATTACTTTTGTGGTTACGTATGCGTCATTTTAGTGTGACTGGTACTAGATTTATAAACAGATAGATTAAATGAACATAATTGTCTTACCATAAGACAATTATGTTTTACTATTATACTTATGTGTTACAATCGGCGGTCTTATCACCATATAGTGATCTCTTACAAAAAACCTTTGGGTGGAGAGATGAATTTTATTGGATAAAAAGAGTATTTAAGCAACCTCTATTTAATGTTATAGATCAAAGAGTACGCTTACATGATATACAATACTAGAGTAAGGTTGATAACCCTACTATCAGGAGCTCCATTCTGAATGGAGACAAGTCAGTTATAATTGCTACCGGTTATCAGACGTAGTTCTTTTAAAGATTTCTTTTTTTTTAAATCTTAATAATAGCAAGTTCATAACTTTTACAGTGAGAAGTAAGAAAGCGGCGTCAAATTTTAATACATTGTATATACAATACAATCAAAATGTGCGCGAAGAATGAGAGAGAAGTAATAGAATAGGGATGACGACTAATTTATGTTTGTTTGTCTGTCAGGTATATTATTGTAGAATATTAAATAGTATTTCTTTATTTTTTGCGTAATCAATTAATTACGGCGATTCATTGTGTGGTCAACAATCTGTGGTCAAGTGCTTGCCTATGTAGAATAAAAAAAAAATGTCGCATGACGTCACGCTTTCGTACATTTTCTACAAAACTGTGATGTAGCGAGCCCTTACCATTTATATTATATTATCAAAGCCGTTTCTTGTTTAAATTAAAGCAAAAAAAATAAGTATCTGATATTTTTCTAGTATCTGACTGACGGACTAAATATTTTTTTTTTTTTACCCAGTCATCATCCCTATTATGGTATACCTGTTACTAGAATGAAATAAACATACTTGCTAAATTACGTGGTCTCGTAATCTCTCTAGTCAAGGAACTCATGCTGGGGATAATGGCCGTGCGAGCTCTCTCTCTGTAACTGTTAAAATGTAATAAGTACAATTATAAAAGAAGCAGAAAAGCATTTTGTCATCAACTTTTCAATGATAAATATGAACGTATACCCTTAATTGCGATCATTGAGGTAATGCACGTTTTTGACGACTCGATTAACTCTGTAGCTAGTAGGGATAGCAGGCGTCCGGACAAATAAAAAAAATTCCGGGAAAAATAAACGTTATCTGGCTTGTCCAGATTTGATTAGGCTTTTGACAGTTGAATCGTAATCGAAATTGAATTCGAATATTTCGAAATTAGCTCGAAATAAAGTTACTTAAGACCGATTTTGCATTAGATTTTAGCTAAATTTCATTAGAATTTAAGAAAAATAGGATGAATAATCAGAAAAGCTTGGTTTTTGTAGACACAATTTTATATTAAGGCACAATATTCTTGACACACCGCCTAGTCTCTCCGGCTATTAGTTTAGTGATCTGGCAACCCTATCCGCGGTAGAGGTGGGCATTGCTATTGTTTTACTGTCTCTTTTATTAATAAAGCATTTCCCTTCTGCCTACCTATGCAGAAGGGAAATGTACATTTGTATGTGCTCTGGTATTTTCTTTCAGATGCTAACTTAAATCTTAAAGTGTACTAGTAATATATGGTCAAACAAACATACAAATATACATAACATTTAGCACATGTGTTTAGTTGCTCAAATAGACTAACATATGTAAATTAAATATTGTGTCATTCCAACGAAATTACATACATAAATATCAAATTGATAACCTCTTTTTTTGAAGGTTTTTAGATAGATCAAAAATTTAAAACTATCAATGAAGTTGTTAATGGTAGATTACGTTTGTTACAAATTAAAATTCACCTTTTAGCTACTCCATAGATTCTATTATAACATTGACTCTTAAAATAAACACTGTACAGAGATTGTTGCCAAGTTCCTAACTAGTTTACACGGCCTAACTAACAACGCAGCCACGCTTCACTTTGACTTAAACTGGTGTGTTCCTGTGGGAACTTCGCGACACAAAATACATAGAATGAACAATATATTATATAACAAAAAAAAATATTACATTGATCATAACCAATATATCTACTTTATATAACAATTCTGAAAAATATTTTAGTATACATTTGAAATAGAACTAGGGTTGCCATCTGTCCGGCTTTAATTTTTTTTATTTATAACCTGCTTACTCTTGATTTCAATACAGCATTGGGCTGGATTGAAATCAAGAGTAAGCAGGTGCAGATGCAGGGATGAATGAGCTCTACTGTGCGATGAGCTTGCCCAGAAGGAACCTAGTCGGTCGTGTTTGGCTTTTCTAGGTTGTGCCCGGCCAAATGTATGTCCAGTACGTCACCATAGAGATATTTGACTTGTAAGGAAGGTTCAGCCCGACTTTTACGATAAAATGTCCAACCTAATACAGCGAAGAGTCAGGCTTTTTTATTTTGCTACTCGAAATAGAACCATAGTCTTTTGTAAAGTCAATAATGCGTCAGGTTTATACAAATCTGTTCACTTGATCTTAAAGCTTAACGTTATGAGAGTTTAAAATCAATTGGAGAAATATGCCTTATTGTGGTAACTTAACATGTGTCTGTATTAACAGACTGCAGGTGTAGTTTTCCTTTTATTGTTAACTCCTTTTAACCGAAGAATTAATTAAGTCCTTTCAATTATAAGTTAAGAATATGCACTTATTTTAATATAAATGTTCTTAACATAATATGTGAATTTAAATAGTTATGCCAATTTGTGCTTTGCATTTCTAATGGAACTTAATTCGCGTATTTATTTTAACGATAGCAGATGCGGCTGGGCCCAACAGTCTAACGTACTTTTTGAAGCACAGTGGAGCTCGAAATAATTAATTTTTGGTAATATTATCCATCCTATGATCAGTCCTTGCGAAAGTTGTTTAACTTCCTTATTGCAGACATAACGTGTTGGACACTGATCTTCGAGCTCCTATACTAATACATATAACTGATTTTCGAAATAAGCATATTGGATCTGTTTATTGTAACGTGTCGTAAAATTTGTAGGTAATGTTCAAAAATAACGAGAATACCTAATTCTTAGAGATTCGTCTAAAACTACTAAAGATGCCAAAACATGTTTTATTGATTTCTTAAACTATTTCTTATTCTTTGATTTCTTATTTTTCTTTTCACTGTTAAACTGTAATAATGTTTAATCCAATGCGATTTATAAAATGAAACATTCTTGACAATAGTACGTTTCTTATTGATGTCATGATAACAGTAAAATTCAGACGTCCAATACCTGTGAGTCACGTGAGAGCGCGTTTGCTTACGTAAGCGTTGACATTTTGACCTTAGGTGTTTAATAAATGTTTAACGTTTGCTTATATTTATGTACTTCATATGAATGTGAATAAATAAATAGTGTTTATTCATTGCAGTATATTGTTTCGTAAAAGTTAAACAGATAAATCGATCAATATTATTTAGTAACACTTAAATTCATATGTTTATTACTTTATGCCGCCGTACATTCGAGTCAGTCCGCCCATAGCAGGACCTGGCATCTTAGTAAAGTATCCTTGCTCGCCAATTGGCGTTTTCGGCATGAGGCTTTAGATTTAGAAATAAACTAGGCTATATGTATAAACTAGGTATGCTATGTGTATTTTACGTGTAGTTTTCACTGTAAAACCTTGTGAATAATTTTATGACATACTAGTTTCAAAGTTGATGATGATGATAAGATACCGTCGCAAACCTTTTGGTCTACGACCAGATACTTTCATACGATGTTGCGAGGCAAGAAAACTTTATTCGTGCTTTTCCTTCCATTTCTGAGTCCTAGCTGTGCCTTTTACAGCATCGCATATAATTTAACCGTCAATCTCCTTTTAATGATTTTTACTTGACAAGGGAACAATACCACTGTGTTTCCAGCAAGGATTGCATTGGAACCAGAAATTGAATAACAATAAGAAATTTTAGGTTTATTCAATCTTTTCCATAGTAATGCCATAAGACGTTGATCCAGCGGAGTCAGCCTTGAACTCCCTCGCTGTATCATTAATTTCCTAAAAATATTCACAGTTTTAACAAATCTTGTTTATCAGCAAGGAATTCCTCAGCTTTAGACTTAATATTATCCATTTTGAACTCCAAAATAGTTTGGTATTCGACTCCAAGTTCTTCGTCAGTTTCTATTCATCTTCAAAGGCTATTCTTTCACTTTTAGATACATATTTCATATTTTTTTTGGGTGTATTATTTTTCTCTTTGTTTATGAATTATTTTTGAGAACTGATGGTGAAATGATTGATTTTAGCTGAAATGATTTTAGACTCAAAACACATTAAAAAAAAAACAGTTTTCTTTGTTTTTTCCTATGTTATTATTATATTTTATTACAAGCAAAGAATATACTACATTTTAAAAAGTTTTATTCCATTCACTTAAATTTGTTTTTTGTTTGTAAAGGCTGTAATGGTTACAGGTGACCATAATTTACTTGATTCTAATTAAATTTAACCACTAAAAAGAAAATTATTATAGCACCTAGACCCAATCCTCTATCTTTCATCAAACTTTTAGGCCTGAAAGTTCCCTCGTTTGAGAGAATCAAGTTAAAAAATTTGTATGGTTTGCCTAGAAACACTAGTAAGCAAAGCACATATATAAAATTCACTTTAAGACGATTCGTTTAAAATATATCTGTATTTGACAATATTAATTCTGAAAATATTAATTCACAGTATGAATTGGAACGTAACTTAGGGAAATAAGTTATAAAATCTCCATCAAATGATGGTCAAAACAGAAAAAAACATTTTGCTGCGCCTAAAAATAAAATGATCACGGGTTAGGTTTATTTACCCTCTATCGATTAATATATACCTCAATTTT